AAAATCAGTCTTAGGGCCAGCGCTGTGGCATAGCAGGTAAAGCCAACACCTGTAATGCCGCATCCCACGTGGGTGCTGGTTTGTGTCCCAGCGGCTCCACTTCCTATCCAGCTCCCTGCTAAAGCAAAGGAAGATGGCCCAAGTGTGGGAGCCCCTGCTGCCCATGTGGGAGGCCTGGAAGAAGCTCCTGGCTCCTGGCTTCAGCCTGGTCCAGCCCTGAGCTTTATGGCCATTTGGGGAGTGAACCAGAGGATGGAAGATCTCTCTCTCTCTCTGCAGTTCTGACTTTCAAATAAATAATTAAATCTTTCTTTAAAGAAAAAAATCAGTCTTAATCTTTGCCACTTAGCAGGATGGTTTCATCCGCTTCCATGGGGTTTCATGGCTGGCATATTTTGATTTATGTATACTTCAGATTTTCATTTTATCTATTCGCTTTTACTCTGTTCCCCTTCCTCCATTTTGTTTCCTTCTGGGTTAAATTCTCCACACACTGATTCCGTTTTCCCCTCTACTAGTTCACAGCTATGTACTCTGTTTCTGTTCTTTTAATAATTGCCAGAAAATTTTAACTTGCACATTGATATAGCAAATCCTGAATTTAATCATTGTCTTTGCCCTCCTCGGGAACCATGCACGGATCTTAAAGCATTCACACTCACATCTGCTCCCTGTAGGCCTGACGTACAAGGGTTGTGCTGTATTTTTATCATGTTACATGATCACTTAGATTGTACGTTAGTGATCTGGTTTAATGGAGTCAGGATGTGTTTGATTCATCCCTGGGCTTGTCGTGTTTTTGCTCCCTATTCTTTCTTGCCCGTTAGATGTTCCTGTTGAGATCATTGTCTTCTTCTGGAGGTGAGCTAGTGCAATGCCCCCAGGTTTCACGTGGTGGAAGCGTGGTCTTCAGTGTGGGAGTCGTAAGAGGTGGTGGAACCTGAGAGGTGGAGCCTGGTGGGAGGTGGGTGGGTCGTTGTGAGTGCCGTCCTTGGAAGGAGTTAGGTCGTTCTTGTGGGACCCCACGAGTTCCTGTGGGAGTGGGTTGTTGTAGAAGAGCCAGACTGCCTGAAAGACCTCTCTCTGCTTAAGGGCTTCCTTTGCCACCGCTGCTGCTCTGAGGCCTTCATCAGAACCAAACGATGGCAGTGCCCAAACTGCGAGCCGATAAACCTTCACGTGTTTTATTACAGCAACAGAAAACAGACTAATGCAGTCAGTAAGGTTCCGTTGCAATGAAACTCTCCGTTTTTGGTTGTCTGAAAGCATTCATTTGATTCTTATTTTTTAGTTTTAAGAATTTTTTATTTTAGAGGCTTATTTATTTATTTGAAAGGTAGAGTTACTGAGAGATGAGGGAGAGACAGACGGAGATCTTCCATCCGTTGGTTCACTCCTCAAATGGCCACAATGACCACGGTTGGGCCAGGCCATAACCAGTAACCTGGAATTCCAGCTGGGTCTTGCACGGGGGTGGCAGGGACCCAAGTACTTGGGTGATCTGCTGCTGCTGCTTCCCCAGGTGCATCAGCAGGGAGCTGGATCAGAAGTGGAGCAGCTGGGACTCAAACCAGTGCCCATATGGGATGCCACCATCACAGGCAGTGGCTTAACTGGCAGTACCACAATGCCAGCCCCTTAGTTTTTCTTTTTGAGTGACAGTTTCCCTGGGTGTGGAATACAGGTGGCTGGTACAGTGTGTAGACACAATGAAGACATCGTTCTGATGTGTTCTGGCTTCAGTGGTAACGCCAGTTGTTGGAGAGGTCTGTCAGTAGGATTATCTCTTTGTAGATACTACGTCTTTTTCTGACTTCTTTTAAGACTTTATTTTTGTTGTCTTTTGTGTTGTTATGATGTTTCTGGCTTTAGCTTTCTTTTTATTTTTTCTGGCTTGAGATTCCTCTTTCTGAGAATTAATGTCTGTCCTCAATTCTGGAAGACTCTTACCCATAATCTTTTAAATGTTGCTTTTTCTTCATCCTCACCAGTGGACTAACTCCCATTGGGCGAATGTTGGACCACCTTATGCTGTCTCCTGTACTCTCTTAACTGTTCACATTTTTGAAATCAGATCTTTAATTTACAAAAAGGAGTACAAAATTAGCATAGACAAAAAATTAGCATAGATATACCGAGACAAAATTGAAATCAATTCATCATATTTGGTATGGTGTCACAAAAAGAGGATGTGAACATTTAGTTTCTCCTAAGACATTTAAAATAAAGCTGTGAGCTCTTGAGCAACTGGTCAGTGTGCTGCTCCTACCGCATCTGGTTTACTTCACCCAGCCCTGACTAAGCCCCCACCCTCCATAGTTGCTTAAAATCAGTGCAATCTCCAACACGTAAGGTAGTTTATTTAGGAAATTCAGAATAAATACCTTCCATGCTCATGAAAATGATGAGGTAACCATTTTTAAAGAAATGTTCCTTTTTTAAAAAAATAAACTATTTTGAGGCTGGTGCTGTGGCATAGTGGGTAAAGCTGCCACCTGCAGTGCTGGCATCCCATATGCGCACCGGATTGAGATCCAACTGCACTGGTTTGAGACCCGGCTGCTCCGCTTCTGGTCCAGCTCCCTGCTGTGGCCTGGGATAGCAGTAGAAGATGGCCCAAGTCCTGGGCTCCTGCACCTGCGTGGGAGACCCGAAGAAGCTCCTGCCTCCTGGCTTCCGATCGGTGCAGCTCCAGCTGTTGGGGCCATCTGGAGGGTGAACCAGCGGATGGAAGTCCTCCCTCTCTCTCTGCCCCTGCCTCTCTGTAACTTTGCCTTTCAAATAAATAAATAAATAAATATTTTTTTAAAAAGAGACTATTTTAAGGAAAGCTTTAGAATTACATAAAAATCAGCTTGATAGTACAGAGTCCCCGTGTGCCCACGGCCAGTTGTCATTGTTAGGAAACATCAATCAGTGTAGTGCATTTGTTACAACTGAGGAACCAATATTAGTACATCATGACTGGTTAAAGTCCTTGCAGTATTCGTACGTCTGAGCTTTTATCCGTTATCCTTTCCCCGGCGACCCTATTGCACTCAGCCGTCTCACGGGCTTCTCCCGCCTGGCAGTCCCTCCGTCTCCCCGCCTTGACGGCTTGGAGAAGTCCAGCGCAGGCGTCTTCTAGAACGTGCCTCCCTTCTTTGGCGCGTGGCGTGCCTCTCCTCGTTGCACTGGGGTCTGGGAGAGGAAGACCTCAGAGGTCAAGCGCCATGTGCATCCCACCCCCGCGAGGGCAGACGCCGCCCCTGACTTAGCCGTGCTGATGTTGACTTTGACCCTGTGGCTGCGGCACTGTTTGTCAGCTTTCTCCCTCGCAAAGGCACTCTTCCCTCCCACCCGTTTTCCATCCGGTGCTCTTCGGAAGAAATTCACCATGCACAGCCCAGACGCAGGGAGCAGGGAGTTCCACGCCCCTCCGCAAGGGCTCAGAATCTATGTAAATAACTCAGAATTCTTCTGTCTGGGAGATGTGTCTCTTCTCCGTATCAATCACTTCTCCTCGTGGTCAGCCATCTATGTTTAACAGTATAGACTCATGGATATTTGTTCTTTCCTTTGGGTTATGTTATAATGCTATTGGATTTGTTACTCAGTTTGATACAACCCCAGGTGCTTTGACTCCCTTGTAATAGAAATTGTGCCAGCGCACAATGTAGACAAGGCTTATTGGGGGTTGCATCAGGCACAAGGAGAGGGCCCGGCTGAAGGGGTTCCACCCACTGGCTCACTGAGGGGAGCGGGGCAAGCGTGGGCACTGGGCTTGGTGTTCTGTTCAGGTTCTGTTCTGTACACGACATGTTCTGAATGCCTGCGTTACTCACCAGTGCCTCCCCAGGAAGGTCACACATTGGTGGTACTGGGATATTCTGAACAGCTGTGAGAGTGGGGAGTCCCTAACAGGGCAGTGAAGGGGTGGGTTCTTTCACAGTTAGGGTGTGGGTGATCCTTGCTCCTGATTGGTTGAGAGCCTGGTGGAGTGACCTGTAGTTGGAGATGGATACAACCTGGGGTGGGAGATGGATACGTGTCAGGTCGGGAGGGTCCTGCTTTTTGGTTTTGTGAATCCTACTTTTTTATTTGAAAGTGAGAGAGAGAGAGAAAGAAAGAGGTATCTTCCACCTGCTGGTTCACTCCCCTATGGCAACAACAGCCTAGGCTGGTCCAGGTCTGTGTCTCCCACATGGGTGGAGGGGCCCCAAGTACTTGGGCCATCATCCGCTGCCTTCCCAGGTGCATTAGCAGGGAGCTGGATGGGAAGTGGAGCAGCCAGGGCTCGAACCAGTGTTCTACTATGGGATGCCGGCACCCCAGGTAGTGGCTTAACCCACTGTACCACAGTGTGGGCCCTGTGAGTCCTACTTCTGTCCTGCCTCAACATTGCTACAGCTTTGGCCATTGGGAGATTCTTCCAGCTGGCTCCTGTATCCCTTTGACACGCTCCGCCTGTGTGTGTTGGGGGTGGGGGACATGTGCACACACGCACACGCACACACACACACACACACTTTCATCCTTTGTGGAACCCAAGATGCTCCAGTTTGTATGTTTCTTGTCCTGCATAAGAGGAACCAGGGCTCCTGGGAGAAGTGCATGAATGGTATTGTAAACCAAGGTCTGGGCGGTAGGCGTTCTCATCGCTGCTCGGGTACTGTTGCCTCTAGACCCTCTCAGCTGAAAGAGCAAGGAAATGTATGTGTGTGTTCTGCTGTATACACACATCTATAAACACCCCCACGTGTCCCTCTCTGCATCCGTATCAAGTAAGCATGAGTCTGTGCTGGAATCTCTTAACTCGAATCTGTTACGACATGGGTCATGCTAGCTTCCTCCCCTTGCCTGTCTGTAAACTCACTCCATTCCAGTGCACATGTCTAGTAGTGTCAGACTTACTGACCCGTACCTCACAGTATGCAACCAGAGCATAGCGCTCACGTACAGATACTTTCCCCTTTATTCTTTTTGTAATTTTATTTGTTTTCATTTTATTTGAAAGGCAGAGAGACAGAGAGATCGTCCATGCTCGGATTCACTCCCCGAATACCCTCCACAACCGCCGAAGCCAGGACTCTGGAACTCCATCTGGTGTCCCACGTAGGTGTCAGGTACTCAAGTCCTTGAGCCGTCTCCTGCTGCCCCCCGACATGTACACCAGCAGGAAGCCGTACTGGGGACTTGAACCCAGGCACTCCAGTAGAGGATAAGGGCAACACAAGTGGCCACTCAGCTGCTGTGCCAAACGCCCACCCCTTCCTTTGGTCTTATAGACCTCGCTCATTTTCAAAGTCAACCCCTTCCCTTCCCCATTTCCCCTACCCATTCCAGCAAGGTGGTTTCTTGCATTCGCAAGACACATTTGTCAGGTCCTGCATTCCTCCATAGGATCCTTTGATCTAAATGATTTTTTTAAAAAAAGGTTTACTCTGTGTGCTGCACATTTCCATAGACTGTGACAAACGCACGGCATCATGTGTCTGCCATTACACAAGGGTCCTTCAAGATGTTTCTGGGGAGATGGAATTATAATTTTAGTGCAGAAATTTTTGGAACTCATTCAGAGTGTTTTCGTAAGTTGCGTTTGCCATAAGCTTTTTAAGTACCCTTGTATGAGCTGACTACATTTGTAGGGATGTATTTCTGGACTCCGTTCTGTTTCATCAATACCACCACCATTTTGATGACTAACTTTATAGCAAGTCTTTTTTTTCTTTTCTAAAAAAATCTATTTATTTGTGTGTTTTTTTGACTTTTTAAATTTTTAATTAGTTTTTAGCAGATTCAATGTGATTTGTAGATATCATTCTAAGAACACAATATTCCCTTCCTCCCTCCCTCCCTCCTTTATAGCAAGTTTTGAAATCAGGTGTTGTAAGCTTTCTAATTTTGTTCTTCAGTATTACTTTTAAGATATATTTTGTTTGTTTTAAGGCCGGTGCCGCGGCTCACTAGGCTAATCCTCCGCCTAGCGGCGCCGGCACACCAGGTTCTAGTCCCGGTTGGGGCGCCGGATTCTGTCCCGGTTGCCCCTCTTCCAGGCCAGCCCTCTGCTGTGGCCAGGGAGTGCAGTGGAGGATGGCCCAGGTGCTTGGGCCCTGCACCCCATGGGAGACCAGGAAAAGCACCTGGCTCCTGGCTCCTGCCATCGGATCAGCGCGGTGCGCCCGCCGCAGCGCGCCGGCCGTGACGGCCATTGGAGGGTGAACCAACGGCAAAGGAAGACCTTTCTCTCTGTCTCTCTCTCTCACTGTCCACTCTGCCTGTCAAAAAAAAAAAAAGATATATTTTGTTTGTTTTAAAGGCAGAGTGACAGAGAGAGAGAGGGAGAGACAGAGATAAAGACATTTCCATCCACTGGTTCTCCCAGTGTTCATGGGCAATAGTTTTCTTTTCTTTTCTTTCTTTTCTTTTTCTTTTTCTTTTTCTTTTTCTTTTTCTTTTTCTTTTTCTTTTTTTTTTTTTTTACAGAGTGGACAGAGAGAGAGAGAAAGGTCTTCCTTTGCCGTTGGTTCACCCTCCAATGGCCGCCGCAGCCAGTGCACCGCACTGATCCGATGGCAGGAGCCAGGTACTTCTCCTGGTCTCCCATGGGGTGCAGGGCCCAAGTACTTGGGCCATCCTCCACTGCACTCCCTGGCCACAGCAGAGGGCTGGCCTGGAAGAGGGGCAACCGGGACAGAATCCGGCACCCCGACCAGGACTAGAACCCAGTTCTAGGCGGAGGATTAGCCTGTTGAGCCGCGGCGCCGGCACGGGCAATAGTTTCGAGACCTCCTGGGATTCCTGAATCCGCGATGCTCTAGTTCCTCTGTATGAGACGGTGTAGTCTGCGTGCGCACTATGCAATCTTCCCGTATACTTCAGATCCTCTCTAGAGTATTTATAACAGCAAATACAATGGAGATGCTAATGGAGGTAAAGACCCTACATTTGTTACAGATACAATTTTCCCCCAAATGTTTTCAATCCAAAATGTTGGTTAAATCCGTGGATGTGGAACCCATGGAGTTTGGGAGTTGTCTGTAATTTTGAACTCATAAATCCCAAAAAGGATCCCAGAAGCTGCCAGGCTTCCAGGAAGAACATTTTGGAAAACCGCAGCCCTAGCTGATGGGACCATTGATGATTTTCTTTTTTTAAAGTTTATTTATTTTTATTTTTCAAAAGATTTATTCATTGATTTGAAAGGCAGAGTTTTACAGAGAAAAAGAGAGGGAAAGACAGAGGTCTTCCATCTGCTGGTTCACTCCCCAAAAGGCCACAACAGCCAGGGCTGAGCGAGGCTGAAGCCAGGAGCCGGGAGCTTCTTCTGGGTCTCCCACATGGGTGCAGGGGCCCACGCACATGGGCCACCCTCCACTATGTTTCCCAGGCACATTAGCAGGGTGCTGGGTCGGAAGTGGAGCATCCAGGACCCGAACTGGCCCCCGGATGGGATGTCAGCATCCATCACAGTGCCAGCCCCTATTTTCCTTTTTATATGAAAGACAGAGATAGAGACTGACAGAGATCTTCCACGTGCTGGTTCACTCTTCAAACACCTGTAACAGCTAGGGCTGGGCCAGGCCAAAGCCAGGAGCACAGAGCTCAGTCCAGGTCGCCCACGTGGGTGGCCAGGGTGCAACTACCGAAACCATCGGCTGCTGCCTCCCAGGGTGTGCGTTGGTGGGTAGCTGGAACCAGAAGCAGAGCTAAGACTTGAACCCAGGCATTCTGATAGGGGATGATGATGCCCCCCTTTTAGATTTATTTATTTATTTGAGAATCAGAGTTACAGAGAGAAGGAGAGACAAAAAGAGAGAGAGAGGTCTTCCATCTGTTGGTTCAGTCCCTAAATGGCCACAATGGCCGGGTTTGGGCCAGGCAGAAGCCAGGAGCCAGAAGTTTCATCCGGGTCTCCCACATGAGTGCAGGGGCCCAAGCACTTGGACCATCTTCCACTGCTTTTTCCAGGCAATTAGCAGAGAACTGGATTGGAGTGGAGCAGCCAGGATTCCATCTTCGAACAAGATTTATTTGTTTATTTGAAAGGCAGAGAGAGAGAGAGAGAGGAGAAAGAAAGGGTTTTTACCCACTTGTTTACTCCTCAAATGGCCTCAATGGCTGGGGCTGGGTCAGGCTGAAGCTGGGAGCCCAGGACTCCATCCAGGTCTCCCATGTGGATGGCAGGGGCCCCAGCGCTTACACCATCTTCTGCTGCCTTCCCAGAGAAGGCGTTTTCAGGGAAATGGGGTGCAATTGGAGCCCCCAGGACTTGAAGTAGCACTTTGGTATGGGATGCTGGCGTCACAAGCAGCAGCTCAACTCTCTGGCCCTCCCAAGTGATGTCTTTTTTTAAAAGATTTTATTTATTTAGGGGCTGGCGCTGTGGCACAATGGGTTAACGCCCTGGCCTGAAGCCCGGCATCCCATGTGGGCGCTGGTTTGAGACCCAGCTGCTCCACTTCCTGTCCAACTCTCTGCTATGGCCTGGGAAAGCAGTGGAAGATGGCCCAAGTCCTTTGGCCCCTGCACCCACATGGGGGACCCGGAAGAGGCTCCTGGCTTCGGATCCGCACAGCTCCAGCTGTTGAGGCCATTTGGGGAGTGAACCATAAGATGGAAGACCTCTCTTCTCTCTGTGTGTGTGTAACTCTTTCAAATAAAATAAATAAACATTCTATAAAAAAGATTTTATTTATTTATTTGAAAATCAGAGTTACACACACAGAGAGAGAGAGGAGAGGCAGAGAGAGAGAGAGAGGTGTCTTCTATCCATTGGTTCACTCCTCAATTGGCTGCAAGGGCCAGAGCTGCGCCTATCCGAAGCCAGGAGCCAGGAGCCAGGAGCTTCCTCCGGGTCTCCCACTTGGGTCCAGGGGCCCAAGGACTTGGGCCATCTTCTACTGCTTTCCCAGGCCACAGCAGAGAGTTGGATTGGAAGTGGAGCAGCCGGGATTCGAACTGGCACCCATGTGAGATGCCGGCACTGCAGGAGGAGGCTTTACCCGCCACACCACAGCACTGGTGATGTTTTAGCCACTGTGCTCTACACCCACGCCTGGTGAGTTTCTTTTTCTTTACTTTCCCCTCTTTTTCCTCCTCTTTCCTCCCTATCACACATGTATTTTCTAGTTTTCTGTGCAAACAACATATGTTCCATGTATTTTAAGCTTAAGATTCATTATCAACATCATTCCTTGTAAGTGGTTTCCAAAGTAAGATTTTAATATGTGTACTTTAAATTTTAATTTTCTTCCCCTCAACATTTTAATTATAGAAATCCAAACATACAGCCAAGTTGAAAGAATTTAGAGTGAACACCATGTACCTAGCTTCTGTTAAACATGTACATTTTTTAGAAAAGATTCATTTATTTTATTTGAAAGGCCGAGGGGCCGGCGCTGTGGTGCAGCGGGTTAACACCATGGCCTGAAGCGCCAGCATCCCATATGGGCGCCAGTTCATGTCCTGGCTGCTCCACTTCTGGTCCAGCTCTCTGCTATAGCCTGGGAAAGCAGCAGGAGATGGCCCAAGTCCTTGGGCCCCTGCACCCACATGGGAGACCCAGAGGAAGCTCCTGGCTCCTGGCTTCAGATTGGCGCAGTTCCAGCCGTTGCAGCCAATTGGGGAGTGAACCATCGGATGGAAGATCTCTCTCTCTCTCTCTGCTTCTCCTCTCTCTGTGTAACTCTGATTTTCAAGTAAAATGAATAAATCTTTAAAAAAAAAAAAAAAAGAAAGGCCGAGTTAGAGAGAGAGAGAGAGGTCTTCCATCCACTGGTTCACTCCCCAAATGGCCGCAATGGCTGGAGCTGGGCCAGTCTGAAGCCAGGAGCCAGGAGCTTTTTCCAGGTCTCTTACATGGGTGCAGGGGCCCAAAGACTTGGGCCATCCTCTACTGATTTCCTAGGCACATTAGCAGGGAATTGGTTTTACCCACTCTGCCACAGCACTGGCCCCAACCTTTTTTAATTCCTAAAATGAGTATTCCATATAAAACCATATCACAGTGTGTTTGTTATAGGCATTTTTCTTATGCTCTTGTCATGTACATAATTTTATTTTTTTCTGTTTTTTGAAAAAATTATTTTCATTTTATTTGAAAGGTGGAGAAAGAGAGAGAGGGAGAGACTTAGTCCACTGGTCACTCCCCAAAATGCCCACTATAGCCGGAATTGGGCTTAGTCCAAAGCTAGGAGCTTAGGACTCAATCTGGGTCTCCCACATGTTGAACCGTCATCTGCCTCAGGGTGTGCGTCAGCAGGAAGCCGGAGCAGAGCCTGGAGCAGCCAAGACTCAGAGCAGACACTGCAGTACGGGATGCGGTGTCCCACGGGGCCCACCCCCTATTCTTCCCTTTTGGATTATTTCTTAGGCTGTGTCCCAGCCTACTCAGCCTGAGACCACCAGCAACAAACCAAGCCGTGTTTGTTGACCCATTGCAACGAGAGGCACAGCCCAGCAGAACTGTGGGGTCTGAGCCAGGGAGGGGAAGGCTGCAGCAGGTCTGGGGGAGGCGGGAGTCAGGCGCAGCGTCAGCCGAGCAGTGCTGGTGTTCAGAACAGTCTTATCTGAGGCAGCGTCTTTGCATCGTATCTGACTTAGCCTCTCCAGGCAGGAGTGGAAGTTTCATTCTGTTTTTTTTTTTTTTTTAATGATTTATGTATTTACTTGAAAGTCAGAGTTGCACAGAGAGAGGAGAGGCAGAGAGAGAGAGAGAGAGAGAGAGAGAGAGAGAGAGAGAGGTCTTCCATCTACTGATTCACTCCCCAAATGTCTGCAATGGCCAGAACTAGGCCCATCCGAAGCCAGGAGCCAGGAGCTTCTTCCAGGTCTCCCATGCGGGTGCAGGGGCCCAAGGACTTGGGCCATCTTCTACTGCTCTCCCAGGCCACAGCAGAGAGCTGGATCGGAAGTGGGGCAGCCGGGACTCGAATCTGCGCCCATAAGAGATGCCGGCACTGCAGGCAGAGGCTTTACCCACTGCACCACAGCATCACTCGGAAGTTTCACTCTTACTGGTAAGAAAGTGCCAGCCCCAGTCACTCTGTTTCTAACAGCTGTGGGAAACTCATTCCTCCTCTGGGGGCTGGGTTCAGGCAGCGGGGTGGGCGGGCGGAGGGGGGTGCCGGTAGGTGTTTGTCTCCTTCACAGAGGTACCCTTGCACCCTTGGGGCTCAGGAGTGACCCCCCCTGAAAAAAGCTGCTTGTCACTAGAGGCAGGTGTCAGGGAGACTCTCAGCCACGGCCACCTCCTGCAGTCTGCCCTCCTGGACATGGCAGGAACCAGAATTGTGGCCATCCAGGGCCAACCATTGCAGGCAGAGGAGTGTGTGTGTGTGTGTGTGTGTGTGCTGGGGGAGGCGGTGCTAGGGCAGTGGCTCCATTGCACACCCCACTGTGGTATCCTGGAGAGCCACAGCCACACTTCTGCAGAAGCTGGGCCCCCAGGTGGCCACGGGAAACCTGCCTGCCCTGCACAGCCTGTCTCCTGTTAGCTCCAGGTATTATGTGAACAGATGGACATCTCTGTAGTCATCTGTGGGAAGCTTTGGCTTGTGATAAGGCAGACGCAAAAATAGGTTGTGCTGGAAGAACGACCCTTGGCCGTTTGTCCCAAAGCAATGCCGTAAAAAGCCAGTTTGGAAATGAGTAGAGATGGTCTAAAACTGTGACAGCTTTGCAGGTGGCACTGGAAGGGAGCTGTCGGAATGATCCTGCCCAACCTTCTATTCTCACGCAAGGGGAAACCAACTCAACTCAGAGAGGGTAAGCAGTGTGGCCCAGGTCACACAGCTCAGGCACCTTGATTCTCCTGGGGGGCTGGGCAGGTGAGGAGAGGAGTCTGTTATTGTTATTGTCTCTGATCTTTGTTATTGTCTCTGCTCTTGGCAGAGACTTTTTCTTTTAGGTTGCTTTCCTCACTCTGGCAAGCAGCCCAGCTTCCCGTGGTGACTCAAACAATCCAATCTCATTCTTTAACTTGTTGTTTTGTCTCCTGGAGGCTCCCTCCCTTGGCTTTTTGAGGGCTGGCTGAGAAAACTGGCCTGCCTAGTCTGGACCCAGTGGCTCCACCCCCCACCTCCCCACCCCCACCCCCAGCACTGGGCTGGCCAGGCCGGACAGCTGACTCCAGCACTCTTGCTCACGTGATCACCACCGCTGTTCCCTGTTGCGCTCAAGTGTCCCGGGCCAGGGTGGGCGCTTCCCAGGGCTCCTGCTGGGAGGGGAACCAGGTAGGCACCCGCGGCCTGCTGATCTACTTGGGAACAGCTCTGGGGACACCAGGCAGGCACAGCCGGGCAGCCTGGGGGCAGATCAGCCGTCCCCAGCTCTTTAAGCAGTGGGGCCCGGAACGTGACTGGTGTCAAGTTGGTGCCTCCCTGCCTTCCCCTGTCCCCCGCTCTGCCCTGCCTTCCTGTGCTCTTAGGCCCTTTTCCTCCCCACCCACAGATGTTCCTTCCTCCTGATTGCTGACTTAGCAGTGCACTGCCGGCTGCGGGCGTGGAGGGATTAATCAGTGACCGGACGCGGCCCGTGTCGGAGCAGTGACCGGCTGTGGTCGAGAGCACCTGCGAGGCCAGCCCCGCGAGGAGTGCGCCCATTTCCCGTCCAGTCCCCTGCTGCTCAGCCCCCTGCTCCTGCCATGGGGTGCCTGGGGGCTCTGCTCTTCCTGCTGGGGGCCCTGGGGGCTCGTGCTGAGATCTGTGGTGAGTAACCACCCCCCTAGACCCCACACCTCTTTCCTGCTGGGTTCTTAAGCGGGAGGAGTGTCCTGTGGTCATTGTGTATCTGGGGAAACTGAGGCTCGGGGCGGAAGGAGGGCACTTATCTGTCCCCCTGGGCCGCCACCGACCCGGGCCCATCAGGCGACCCAGTACAGTGAGGTTGAGCCCACGCCTTGCTCTCCGACAGGCAAGATCTCCCCGACGGAGCCACGCATTTGTTCTCTTGTTTAGCCCATCGCTAAAGGAGCCGTCTCGTGCTTAGGCTTTAGGGCCAGAAAGAGCAAGCAGGACAGGTCCCATCCCTGCCCTCCTCAAAGTTGGGCTCTGGGAAGGGGTTGGACAGGAGAAATCAAGGGACAAGCAGGGCTACCTGAGTGCCACAGGGGCCGCCAGCCACGGGGGTATGGGGGAGAGCCACAGGGGCCATGGCGGGGGAAGGGAGGCTGGGGATGGACCTCCAAGGACCAGCAGGCACCAAGGGAGCGGAGGAAAAGGAGCAGGGACAAGCATTGCAGGCAGAGGGAAGCGAGTGGTCGGAGGCCTTGTCTGCGCTGGTTCTGCACCCCAGGGGACCTCTGGGACTTCCCTGGGGTCTCTCGGGACCCGGCTGTGAGTCTCAGTGCACAGACAAGGGCCTCACACACACACACTGGGGCCAGTGGGAAGCAGAGGCGCCGCTGCCTCACCTGTCTTCTTCCCCCCTGTGCTCTGCGGTGGTCACTGCTGACCCTGGAGAAACCCCAAGAGGCCGGCACAATCGTGTCCACATGGAGGAAGAAGGCAGAGGCTGAAAGGGCCGTCAGCCTGCTCAGAGGAACCTTGCCGGACTTGGTTCTGGAACCCCAGGCCAGGTCCTCCCCGGGGCGCCAGGAGCCTCAGCCCCGTGCTCTACAAGAGTAACGAGACCCCGGGGCCCTGGGCCCTTGGTTCTCGTCCAGTCGGACTCCCGGGGAGACCTGGGTTCAGCCAGCCAGAGCTTCCCTTCCTGTTGACCTGGCTGCCTGGTACTCAACTTTGGACAGTGATCCTGTAAGCCCGGCGACCCCTCAAGATTCCTCTTCCCTGGGGATGCAGAACCTTGGACGTGACTTTGTGGGATGCAGCCCACTGCTGCCAAGTCACACAGTCTCTCCCACCCTCACTTCCTCCCCTTCGAAATAGACTAAGGATGCTCCCATGCTGGGGGCCACAGCACCTGGTTCGCCAGCTTAAAGTTCTGCATGCCTGTGACACGGACAGGGAGTGCTGCCCCCGCGCACCTGCGAGATGGGCTCCCGGGCTTCTGAACGTCAAGGCCAGTCCCTCCCCAGCGGGAGGGCCAGGCGCCCCTGAGAGCAGGAGGCCCCGTGCTGAGGAGAGTTTGCCCCAGGTCTTTCTCGTTACCCTGGGTGAATCTGCCCAGCTTCTTCCTTCTACAGAGATTGGATTGCGGTCATCAACCTCCCTTTCAGCCAACTCCTCCCCTTATCACTTCTAACCCAGGCTGACTCATCATGCCACAGGTCAGAGCCCACGGTAGAAGCTTCAGGAAGGAAGAGAGGGAGAGACAGGTGCGGAGGGACAGGTGGCAGGAAAGACAGAGGCTGGGACAGACCGGGCAGACAGACCCAGAGACCTTGAAAGAGAGGGACAGACAGGGAGAGACCTGCAGAAACGGAGACAGAGGGGCCAGTGGTGTGGTGTAGCTGGTTAAGCTGCCACTCTTGACACCTGTATCCCCTATCAGAATGCCTGTTCAGGTCCTGGCTACTCTGTTTTGATTCAGCTCCCGGCCAATACAGCTGGGAAGGGAGTGGAAGAAGGCCTACGTACTTGGGCTCCTGCCATCCACATGGGAGTCCTGGGTGGAGTTCCCCACCCCTGGCTTTAACCTGGGCCAGCCCTGGACGTTGTGGGCATCTGGGGAATGGACCAGTGAATGGAAGATCTCTCTCTCTCGCCCTCTCTCTCTCGCTCTCTCTGTCTCTTTATTTCAAGTATATGAAAATAAATACAAATTTTCAAAAAATTCATTTTATTTATTTGAAAGGCAGAGTTACAGAGAAAGAGGGAGAGATACAGAAAGAGAGAAATATCTTGGGTCTGGCGCTGTGGCATAGCAGGTAAAAGCTTTCGCCTGCAGTGCCGGTATCCCATATGGGCGCCGGTTTGAGTCCCAGCTGCTCCACTTCTAATCCAGCTCTGTGCTATGGCCTGAGAAAGCAGTAGAAAATGGCCCAAGTCTTTAGGCCCCTACACCCACATGGGAGACCTAGAAGAAGCTCCTGGCTCCTGGCTTCGAATTGGCACAGCTCCGGCCATTGCAGCCATTTAAGGAGTGAACCAGCAGATGGAAGACCTCTCTCTCTCTCTCTCTCTGCCTTGCCTTCTTTCTCTGTGTAACTCTGACTTTCAAATAAATAAATAAATCATAAGAGAGAGAGAGACCAGTGCCGCGGCTCAATAGGCTAATCCTTCGCCTGCGGCGCCGGCACACCAGGTTCTAGTCCCAGTCAGGGCGCCGGTTCTGTCCCGGTTGCTCCTCTTCCTGTCCAGCTCTCTGCTATGGCCCGGGAGTGCAGTGGAGGATGGCCCAGGTCCTTGGGCCCTGCACCTGCATGGGAGACCAGGAGGAAGCACATGGCTCCTGGCTTCAGATCAACGCAGTGCGCTGGCCACAGCTCGCCAGCCGCAGCAGCCATTGAGGGGTGAACCAACGGGAAAAAAAAGGAAGACCTTTCTCTCTGTCTATCTCACTGCCCACTCTGCCCGTCAAAGAGAGAGAGAGAGAGAGAGAGAGAGAGAGAGAGAGAGAGATTTTCCATCTGCTGGTTCATTCCCTAAATGGCCACAACGACCAGTAGTAGACCAAGCTGAAGCCAGGAGCCTGGAGCTCCACCTGGGATCTCCCACGTGGGTGGCAAGGACCCAAGCATGTGGGCAACCTTCCGCTGCCTTCCCAGGTGCATTAGCAGGGAACTGGAGCAGAAATGGAGCAGCCAGGACTGGAACCAGCACTCACATGGGATGCTGGCATCACAGGTGGAGGCTTAACCCGCCGCACCATAATGCCGGTCCCAATAAATAAGCATTAAAAAAAAAGGAGAGACACACAGAAAGGCTCCGAGCAAGAGAAAGAGAACAGAAAAGCAACCCTGTGTCCAGATTCTCTTAGTGAACATTTGGTGTGAAACCAGCCACGTGTTCTGGCTGAGCCCACACAGCAAGGAATTATTTAGGGTTTTGCCTAGTGGACGGTCACCTCATAGCAACAGTCACCTGTAACTTGTGGGGAAATAGGCATGACCCGGGTCCTGGTTCCGGGAGGCCCAGGAAACACTCTGTTTCATCCTCCGGTTGGAGTGTCCCCCAGCATCCTAGGATGTGGCACAGTGGAGGCCACCGTCGGGCAGTGGAGCCCACAGGGGACAAAGTGCTCTAGGGCCACCCTGGTTGAATCTGACCAAACTCAGGTCCCCTTCGCTCATGCAGAGATGAGAGGAAAAGCATGATTTTGAGATCTGCACAGTGGAAGCTCCCCAGGCAGCCGCAGTGTGCCAGGTGGTCTGTGGGGTTTGCAAAGTACATGAACTTTGAACTTCTGTCCCCTCTTTTGTGCAAAGTGTTGATGACAGTGTCTGCATCACAAGGCTGGTGTGAGAGCGGCATGGCCTCCAGGTCTTGCTGTCGCTGCTGATGGATGGATCAGTTGCCTGGCAACAGCATCCTCTGATCTCCACCATGGACCACCTCCTCTCCCCATCTCACTACAGCTCTGTATGTGTGTGTGTGTGTGTGTGTGTGTGTGTGTAAGAGAGAGAGAGAGCGCGCGAGAGAAATAGAGATCTTCCACCCACTGGTTTACTCCCCCAGAGATCTGCAATGACCAGAGCTGCACCAGGCCAAAGCCAGGAGCCAGGAGCTTCTTCTGGGTCTCCCATGTGGGTACCGAGTTCCAAGGACTTGAGCCATCTTTCACTGCTTTTCCCAGGCCATTATCAGGGAGCTGGATTGGTAGTGGAGCAGCCAGGACTTGAACTGGGGCCCAAATAGGATGTTGGTGTTGCAGGTGGTGGCTTTGCCTACTGTGCCACAATGCCAGCCCCTCTAACTGTTTTTTGGGGGGATACTTGCTTCCCTTTTTGTCCCCCATCTTCCAGGGTGGACGCAGGCCCTGGTAAAGTCAAAGCAGTTCCTTGCTGGCAGCCTGGCTCTGCCACCTTGTGTCTTTTCTTTCCTAAGGTGTGCCAAAAGTGGACAGCCAGCTGGTGGAGAAGCTGGGCCAGCGCCTCTTACCTTGGATGGACTGGCTCTCCCTGGAGCATCTGAACCCCAGCATCTATGTGGGCCTGCGTCTGTCCAGTCTGCAGGCTGGGACCAAGGAGGACCTCTACCTGCACAGCCTCAAGCTGAGCTACCAGCAATGCCTCCTTGGGTATTTCCACACTCTCTCTTCTTGGTCCATTTCCCAAGAGGCAGGGTGCCTAGGTTCTGGTTTGGGCCTGACGCTGCTTGGTTGGCAGACCTCATGCAAGTTCTGTCTTCTCTGGGCGTCTCTCCACCTGTAGAATGAAGGAGTCACAGATGCTAACATAGGGCCCTTGGGCTGCTATTACACCATTCTGTGCCCATGGCAGACATCACTAATCTATGACCACACTCTCATACTGAGCACAGAAACAACACCTGATTCTTCCCATGCTTCCCTCTGTGCCTGAGGCAGACATCACTAATGCGTGACCGCACTCTCACACTGAACCCAGCAGCAGCACCCGATTCTGTGCTCCTTTCCCATGCCCGAGACAGACATTACTAATCCATATCAGCATGTTTTTTATACAGAGTCCAGAAGCAGGCTTTCCCTGTGTTCACTTTCCAGGGGGACTTTAAGGAGAGGCCCATTCGGGTGAAGAGTCAGGAGCCGGGGGGCACCTCCAACTGGGAGATGCAGGCTGGGGAGAAGGAAAGGAGAGAGTGCGTGGGCGAAGCGTGGGGCAGGCCCAGGAGCCCTGGGGGTTTATCCTCGGCCCTCGTCTTCCATCTTTAACCAGTTTTCGTGTTGGGGTTTGTCTGCACTTTGTGACGTTGGTGGGGGTGCCCCCGGCCAGCCTGACCGCAGACCTGTTGTCCCCCGGCCTTTCCCCAGCTCGGCCTCGGGCGACGACACCAGTGACTGCCAGGCCAAGCCTTCCATGGGCCAGCTGGCCCTCTACCTGCTCGCCCTCAGAGCCAACTGCGAGTTCGTCGGGGGCCGCAAGGGGGACAGGCTGGTCTCACAGCTCAAGTGGTTCCTGGAGGAAGAGAAGAGGAACATTGGTGAGGGTTTGCCAGCGGCCGGGGCGGGGAGCTGGGAGTCTGGTGAGGACCAGAGCTTGGGGGAGGGCGCTCTTTCCCCGCCTCCATCCCGCCCTCTCCCTCTCCACCGAGAGGCTGTGTTTGCTCCAGTGGCCGTGCCTGAGCCACCCTTTCCTGCAGCCCACAGCGGGTGATGCTCGGCCACACTGACTGCCCTGAGCACCCGCCTTCCTAACGTGCTCTTCCACCTCTCGGCGAACTCCTCTGCCCCCTGACGCGACCCAGCACGTGACAGCCCCGGCAAGCCTCTTCGGCGGGCACGAGTGCCGGTGGAGGCTGTGAAGGGTCCCAGGCCCAGAGGCGGCTGCTGGGAGGTGCAGGCCGTGGGGTCCCGTGTGCCGATGGGGCTGGTTGCTGGGACGGGGCAGGGAGGCCGCCGCTCAGGCGCAGCACGATGCCCACACCCCGCGTTTCTCCCTGCCAGGTCACGATCACAAGGGCCACCCCCACACCAGCTACTACCAGTACGGCCTCAGCATCCTGGCCCTGTGTGTCCACCAGAAGCGGGTCCCTGACAACGTGGTGGGCAAGCTCCTGTACGCCGTGGAACATGACCAGCACCTCCACCGGGGCCACTTCTCCGTGGGTGAGTGAGCCAGAGCCCGCCGAGGCCCGACTGGCGCGCGCTCAGCCCCAGCCCCAGCTGAGGGTCTCCGTGTCCTGGCTGCACGTTCCCCTTTCTTTGGGATCCCTGCTTACCGCACCACCATGCAGTGAAGGGCTGAGGGCCCTGTGTGGCGCCGTGGGGCTGGGCTGAGGTCCTGACCACAGCCCATCACTCGCTCACTGTGGGAATGACCTCCCAGCAACGTCTCCATGAAGGATGACTGACAGGCAAAGGGCCCTGCCCTGCGCCCGGCGTGGAGAAGGCTCTGCGCGCTGTGACCTTGTCATCACACAAGCTGGGAGGCCTGAGACCTGCAGTCTGATTGCTTCCACTGTGTGACCAGGGGCCTCCACTTCCATTTCTGTCTTCCTTTCAGATTTATTTATTTATTTATTTGAAAGCCACAGTTAGAGAGAGAGAGAGAGAGAGAGAGAGAGAGAGAGAGAAGTCAGTCTTCCACTACTCAGATGACAACAACAGCCAAGGCTGGGCCAGGCCAAAGCCAGGAGCCAGGAGCTTCCTCTGGGTCTCCCATATGGATGGCAGGGGCCCACGCTCTTGGGCCATCTTCTGCTGCTTTCCCAGGCCATCACTTGGAGCTGGATTGGAAGTGGACATGAACCAGTGCCCGCAGGCTGCAGCTCTACCAACTATGCCACAATGCTGGCCCCCTCCATCTCCATTTCTGATCACTGTGATTCAAAGTCTCTCCCGGGCCTGATGTTCATGCGCCTAGGCTTGGCGGAGGATGGAGCACGTGAGGGGAGGGCAGGTGCCCAGAGCAAAACATGCGATAGGGCCCCAGCCAGCAGGGAGCTTCTTCTACCCCAGAGACCTGTAGAAAACCCGCTGTGGATGCACTGAAGCCAGCTGGAGGGGCTGGCGTTGTGGCTCAGTGCATGAAGCCACTGCCTGCAACGCTGGCATCACAGCATCCCACATGAGCACCAGTGCAGGTCCCAGCTGCTCCACTTCTGATCCAGCTCCCTGCTAATGCACCCGGGAAAGCAGCAGAGGATGGCCCAAGTACTTAGGTTCTTGCACCCTCGTGGGAAACCCAGAAGAAGCTCCTGGCTCCTGTTTTTTTGTGGCCATCTGGGGTGTGAACCAGCAGATGGAAGATCTCTCTCTATGTCCCTCTCTCTCTCACTGTCATTCTGATTTTCAAGGAAATAAAAAATAAATAGCTCTTAAAAAAGAAAACCATCTGAAGGAGAGGGAAAGGCTTAAATATCTCCAGGGCCCTGACATCTCCCTGTGCCAATCAAATCAGATTAGCTAGGGACAAACCCAGGCATCTCTTGGTTTAAAACTCCCTGGGAGAGGCCGGGGTTATATTGTAGCAGGTTAAGCTGCCACCTGTGGTGCTGGCATCCCATGTGGGTGCTGGTTCAAGTCCTGGCTGTTCCAATTCCGATCCAGCTCCCTGCTCATATGCCTGGGAAGAGCTGTGGAAGAGGGCCCAAATGCTTGGGCTCCTGCCACCCACATGGAAGCTCCTGGCCCCTGACTTCAGCCTGGCCCTGCCCTGGCGATTGGGGCCATCTGAGGGAACAAACCAGCAGATGGAAGATCTCACTGTTTGTCTATCGCTCTCTCTCTGTAACTCTGACTTTCAAATGTTTAAAAAAAAATTCCCAGGGCTGGTACTGTGGTGTAGCAAGTAAAGCCACCACCTACAGTGGTAGGTGGCACTGGTTCAAGTCCCGGATGCTCCACTTCCCATCCAGCTCTCTGCTGTGGCCTGGGAAAGCAGTGGAGGATGGCCCAAGTTCTTGGGCCCCTGCACCCACATGGGAGACCCAGAAGAGGCCCCTGGTTCCCTGGCTTCGGATGAGCACAGCTCCAGCTGTTGTGGCTATCTGGGGAGTGAACCAGCAGATGGAAGATTTCCTCTCTCTCTCTCTCTCTCTCTCTCTCTGCCTCTCTAATAAATAAATAAATCTTTAAAAGAATTCCCTGGGAGAATCCAGTGTGCAGCCAGGTTTGGGAACAAGCAGTATAGGATGCAGTCCTCTCTGGCCTTCCTCCCCTAGTCGCCCTCACCAACCTCTAGCCCCCAGGGAGTAGAGTGACCAACCAAATCAGTCCTCTGATGACCAAGGGGTTTCCTGGGTGTAGGACTTGGAGTGGCCATAGCAGCAAGACCCTGGACAAACCAGGCTGAGTTGGTGCCCCAAGCTGATCTGACCAGCAGTCTCCCTCCTTCAATCCTTCCGTGGCTAACCCCCAAGGCCCTGCTCTGCCTGGCCTTCTTGACTGTCCAGCTCGTCACAGGCCCTGTCTCCTCTAGATACGGTGGCCATGGCAGGCTTGGCCTTCACTTGTCTGGAACGCCTCAACTTGAACCCGGATCAGAAACAACGGATCAGCACGGCCATCGGCACAGCACGGGAGAAGATTCTGGGGGCCCAGACCCCCGAGGGCCACTTCGGGAATGTCTACAGCACCCCGTTGGCTCTGCAGGTAGGAGGAGGCCCTTGGAGCCCTCGGGGCCAGTGAGGAGTGGACTTAGCAGGAGCTGGAAGGCTTGGCTGTAAGACCCAGTGCACGCCGGCTGACCTGCCTCCTCCGCACCTTCCTCACTCTGTCCCCAGTTGCTGATGGCCTCCCCCGTGTCCGGGGTGCAGCTGGGCGCGGCGTGCCTCAAGGCCAGGGCTGCTCTGTTGGCCAGCCTGCAGGACGGAGCCTTCCAGAACGTGGTCACGATCTCCCAGCTGCTGCCTGTCCTGAACCATAAGACCTACGTGGACCTCATCTTCCCAGACTGCCAGGCACCAAGAGGTAGGCGCGCCTTTGGTGGAAGCACAGCTGTCTCTCGTCTGCCGAGCACACGTGGACGCCTGTGGGGCCCAGCGAGGGGAGGTGGCTTGTTCTGATTTGCTGAGTCAGCACGAGGTTGTGGGTGTGCGTGGGACACAGCAGCTGGGCTTCTAGAAGCTCACAGTGTGGGGAGGAAAAGACCACAAATGGAGAGATCTGGGTGGGCCCCTTATGTGATACCCAGGGCAGAAATGTCTCAGTGAATGGATGGATGGTTGGATGGATGGATGGATAGATGGAGAGAGGCACATCTTGGTTGAGTCTGAGAAACTGTGATCAGAATTTGAATCAGCTGCGTCTGAGAGAGGGGAGGTGAGTGGGAGGTGCCAGTAGACAGGAGGGCAGGGTGGGCGGAGCGGAACAGAAGGCAGCAGAACACAGGCATGGGGGTGACAAGAACTGGGGGGCGTGGTCTTGCAAAAGAGTAGGGTTTGGGAGAATGAGCAGGCAGGGGGGTGGGAAACAGACCCTCAGCGGTGACAGGGGAGTGGTGAGCAAGTGCCTGTTCTAGAATGAGCCTTTGCAGTGCTGTGTGGCTAACCGGGGGACACTGGTGTCAGAGAAGTCAGTGGAGGGCCTGGCGTTGGGTGGTGTGGGGGACAGGGACACAGGGGTGAGGGACAGGGAGCCGGGGTGGCCCCAGGCTTCAGCGGAGCAGATGGTGGTGGTGCTGGCTTTCAGTGAGCTGAGAACCCGTGGAAGGACGGGGCCCAGAGGGGAAGAAGGGGACCCCCAGCTGGGCTGTGTGTCCTGACGCCAGCTGCCTGCCCTGTCTCCCCGCCACAGTCACGTTGGTCCCAGCTAGCGAGGCGCCCTCACTGAGCGAAGTCCCAGAGATCATCACCGTCTCGCTGAGGGTCCCCAGTGTCCTGCCACCCTACGAGCGATCACTCTTTGTCCTCGCCGGGTCCTCTTTGGAAGACGTCCTGAAGCTGGCCCGTGAGACTGGAGGATTCACGTGAGGCCCCTCTCCCCACTTCCCAGCCTCCACCCCTCCAAACCCCGCGTGCCTAAAACAGGGGAAGGAACAGGGGACAGAGACAACGGCCCAACTCCTTTTTCGCCCGTGCTGTCATGGCAACAGAGCCGTGGGCCAGTTGTCACCAAGCGAGCAGGCTCGGGAGACAGAGCCGCTGCATTGGAATCCCAGCTCTGCCGCTGTCCAGCCAGGGGGCAGAGCCACGGACGGACACGCAGCTCAGTGAGGGCATCCCACGTGCTCGTCTCTTCCTGGGGCCTGTGTGAGGGGCCCAAGAGTCCAGGCCATGTGCAGACGGTGGCACCGGCTTTTTGTGGGTGCAGGAGCTAGCTGGCACATACAGAGTGGAGTGCTCCACCCAGGCTGGCTTTCCTAAGGATCAGAATTTTTAGCGTTGATATCTTGGTGCAGAGGAGGCCGGGCAGTGACCTTAAACTTGCTTCTTGGGCTGAGGTCTGCCCTGAGGACGAGGCCCTGTCCACACCCACCTAAGATGGACGTGTTGCTCCTGGGGACTAGGGCACAGAGAAGCTGAGTGCCTGCCACCTGGGGTCATCCAGGCCAACAGATCTCAGATATTTGGAAAGACCCCTTTAAAAGACAAAAATGCTCCCAGACTTCAGGTTAAGTTGCTCCATTTATAATATGACTTCTATATGTTTATTACGTGCAAAGGCCTTTCTGTAAAGAATAGACCTACGCAAATAGGGACCGTCTGCAGAGGGGCAGGTGCAGCTGCCAGTGCAGGGCGAGCCGTGTGCTCTCAGCACCCCCTCAAATTTGAGGCGCCCTTGGACCTGAGTCTGTGCAGGCTGCTCTGACTTCCCCGCCCCTCCCCTGGCCTGAGCACTCCCTTCACTGTTCAGCGCATCTCGGTTCTCGGCGGGGTTGGCTGCAGGGCCGCAGCAGAGTCAGAGGAGGCCACGGCCACCCCGGGGGCCCCCAGCAGAGGTGGAGATCACCTGCACCTGCTGGCATCCGTTGCTGCGGCCCCTGCCCTTGCGTTTTGGCGTCCTGCGTCATCCCACAACTGCTCCCTCTTGCAAACACACCACCATGATGTCACCCACTACTACTTATTACCTCTGAGGGCAGCACCCCAGGGACCGCCCCTCTCCCTGGGCTCCACCACCTCAACACCCCCACACGGAGGACCAGGCCTCCAGATTCACCCCCGGGGACAAACCACATCCAGACTGAGACAGAGTCCGTGGCCGCGGTCAGCGCAGGCTGTATCAGTGGGACTGGAGAGGAGGCGGGCAGAGCTGAGGCCCGCGGCCCCCTGGGGAGGTGGCTCAGGAAGGGCAGAACTTGTCTGCGGGGTCCCTGAGCTCCTCTTCCTCTCCCGGAACAGCAGTTGGCTCCCCTTCTCTTCTGCAGGTTTGAGACACAGGCCTCCCTGTCAGGCCCCTACCTGACCTCCGTGATGGGGAAAGTGGCTGGGGACCGTGAGTTCTGGCAGCTCCTCCGAGCCCCCGACACCCCTCTGCTGCAAGGTGAGCCTGGGCCACCCCCGGACCTGTCACCTACCCCAACCTGACCCCCGGGCAAGTCTGCACCCCTCACCCCGGCTTTCCCCAGTGCAGCCTGGGCCACCCCCGAGCTGTCCCTACCCCAGCCTCACCCCCAGCAGTCTGCACCCCTCACCCCAGCTTTCCCCAGCACCGGCCTGGGCCACCCCCGAGCTGTCCCTACCCCAACCTGACCCCCGGGCAAGTCTGCACCCCTCACCCCAGCTTTCCCCCGCACCGGCCTGGGCCACGCCTCATACAAACCTTTGATGCTCAGGGGTGCACTTAATCGATTTAACAGAATGCAGAGCCCTTTCCTTGGAAGCAATTGTGGGAACTCCAGGAAATCAGCTCGATTAAAAGAGGAAGAAAGTGAGAATCAGCTGTAATTCAGGACCTAGAAATAACTTCTTTTAATTTCTGGTATATTGTCTTCCAGAAACACTTTACAATACCTTAAAAAAATTAAAGGAGCCATAGTTTCTCTATCAATAGGAAGGAAGTATCAGTCACATGTGTAATTTAAAATCTAGTTAGTGAAACCAATTTTAATAATATCTCTTTTAACTGAATGTCTAAAATATCACTCAGATTGAGTGATTGTAGAGCTATTAGTGACATATTTTACATGCTTTTTTTAAAAATGGAATTTTCATATTCTTTTTTAAAAAAGATTTATTTTATTTATTTAAAACAGAGTTACAGAGAGAGAGAGAGGTCTTCCATCTGATGGGTCACTACCCAAATGGCCAAATCGGCCAGAGCTGAGCCCATCTGGATCCAGGAGCCAGGAGCTTCTTCTGGGTCTCCCACGCGGGTGCAGGGGCCCAAGGACTTGGGCCATCCTCCACTGCTTTCCCAGGCCATAGCAGAGAGCTGGATTGGAAGAGGAGCAGCCAGGACTTGAACTGGCGTCCCTATGGGATGTGGGATGCCGGCGCTGCAGGTTGGGACTTTAACCTGCTGCACTGCAGTGCCAGCCCTGGAATTTTGATTTTCTTGATTCGTTTGATACAGAAAGACAGATAGGTGCACAGAGAGAGAGAGAGAGAGAGAGCACTCCCATCTGCTGGTTCACTCCCCATCTACCCTAAGGGGGTCAGGATCGAAGCTGGGAGACGGAGCTCAGTCTGTGCTCCCAACCTCAGTGGCAGGAACCTAAGCCCTTGAACCCCCCAAGGACTGCATCTGTGGGAAGCCGGCGTCAGGAGTCTGAGGCAGGCATTGAACCCAAGTCCTCCAGTGTGGGATGTGGGCATCCTATCCGACAAATCAACTGCTAAGTGCAGCGCCTACCCCACGTGCTTCTTCTGTGTTTGTACGAGGATTTCAAATGCTAGCCCGCACACTTACTGTTTTGCAACCGTATTCATTCTTACTATGTTTGTGGCCATCTCTCCACATCGGCCTGTGTAGATCAGAACACCAAGGTACACAGTCCTGGCTCACAGATAGCCCCTTCTCGCTGTGTGCCCACCCGGTGAAAGGCACAAGGGGACTCTCTGGGTCCTTTTTCTACAAAGACACCGACCCCAATCCGCGAGGGCTCCACCCTGCACCTCCCAAAGGCCCACCCTGAGCCTAACACCCCCCACTCCCGGGGGCTCAGTTTCCACCTGAGTGGGGGAGGGGAGCAGCAGACATTCCGACCACAGCACCTCCAGAGAAAAAGAAACCCCCCACCCCCACCCCCTGGGGGCAATATTTGACACTGGCTAAGCGGCCACTTGGGACGTCCGCAGCCCACGTTGGAGAGCCCGTTTCAAGTCCCAGCTTCACTCCTGATTCCAGAGTCCTTCCAACGCACCCGTGGGAGGCAGCAGGGATGCTCAGGTGTCTGGGTCCCTGCCACCCACCCTGGGAGACCTGGACTGAGCTCCCAACTCCTGGCTTCAGCCTGGCCCGGCCCCAGCTGTTGTGGGCATTTGCTGATTGAACCAGCAGATAGACGATCTCTCTCTCCCAAATACATTAAGACAACAACAAACCGCACTTTCCAGGCTTCAGGGTGGGGGTGGGGAAGATGAGGTCCAGGGCTCGGATCCACCGTGTTAAGCGCCCTTGCTCTGCTTCCACAGGGATCGCTGACTACAGACCCAAGGACGGGGAGACCCTCGAGCTGAGGCTGGTCAGCTGGTAGCCCCGAGGCCGCCTCGCACACCCCCCGGGCTTTCCAGGCCTCCCTCCCCATGTCCTCAGTGTGGGGCCCCGACCTCGCTGCCACGTCCTGTGCACTTGGAGAAATGTCACTGGATCACCCTGGCCACCACGCCAGCCAAGGCCTATGCAGAGGCTCACCCTGGAGCAGGGAGCAAGCACGTTCCCCAGGACGCCCGTCGGCCCAGGTCTGGCCCAGCGTGGCCCTGCGCGCCTCCCGGGAAGACCACGCCAGCATCTGAAGGGCACGAAAGCATCTCGGGCTCCTTGGGAGGAGGAGGACAAGCGTGGTGACTGCTGGTGTCGTGAGTACCGCCGCTCTGAGTTGGGGAACCCCAGCTCTGCACTCCGCTGTCGGAAGTGGCAGCCCCAGAGCTGGCCGTGGGGCACCCGATGCCTGCCTTGGAAGTGATTAAAGCATTGATTGTCCGTGCACCTGCCGTGCTGTCCTGCTGCCTCCAGTGTAGGAACCGGGAGCAGAGAAGGGCGAGGTGCCCCGGGCGGGAGGGGAGGAAGGTGCCGGAGCTTTCTCTGAGGCATGGGGGGGAGCAGGCTTCTGGCTTAGGAGCCCGACAGACCTGGCCTGGGGTGCCCTGCTGCTCCTCCACCAGAACACTGGAACCTGGGGTTCCGCGATTCAGAGCCCCGATTCACGCGAGGCCCAGGGCCCCAGGGTCGGGTCTCGCTGCTGTTAGGGTCCCAGTCAGGCTTCGGGAGCCAGGATGTGGGGACCCTGTGTGTGCGAGAGCCTGGGGCTCTGTGCTGTCCCCTCGGAAGTGGGGCTGGGCCCAAGGAGGTCAGGAAGGGGGCCTGGTGGATGACACCAGGGGGCTGGGGCCCCTGTGCCTGGGAAGTGGGGCAGACAGACCCGTGCGTCTTCCTGGAGTGCCAGCCCCAGATACTCAGGCCTGGGCAGCCAGGGGGAAGGGGAGGTGAAAATATTCTTTTGTACCAAGGACTACCTGGAAGTTCCAGGAAGCCAAATACAAGGGGACTTCAGACCGTTCGCGGACACATGGAATTGAAAGAGAAGTTAATTTTGGCGTAAAGCATTTGGAAATCCAGGCATGGTTTTCGTCATGAGATGCATTTTCCACAGGCATTTCCAAGACCCCTTGGTACAAAGTCAACACCTGGATTCTAAAATTCTTATCTATTTACTTATCTCATGGCAGGGAGCTCCAGTCTGCTGGGTTCACTCCCCAGATGCCTGCAGTGGTTCAGGGCGCGGCCAGGGCCGAAGATGGGAGCCATGAACTCAATTCCTCCTGGCCCCCTGGCCCCCCGCAGGGCAGGTGGGGGCCGCCCCCTGGGTGGTACTGGAAAACTGACAAAATCCGCCCTCCCCTTTCCAATGTCACCCATACGGAGAGGTTGAATTTCTCCTCTACAAGAAGTGGGGGAGTGGGCTACCCCCTTGGCTGGCTCAGTTTCCCCCCTACAACCTTGCTTCTAAATGCCCCCATTAAAAAAAAGTCCCTATAGTTTAGTCCTTAGCCTGCAAATCCTTCTGTCTGCACCCCCTCCCCTGCATTTTGGGGTCATCAACAGTGTTTTGCGGCCTTCAGCAGGCATGAGAGGTGACAATCCAGATTCCTGGGCCCACCCTCGGTTTCCAGCGTCTGACTCAGCAGGGAGGCTAGGGGGCTCTTGAGGCTATTCCACCGCATGGCCACCAGAGGGCGCCGCAGGACCGGCTAAGCGGTCCCCCTTTGCGGCTTGGTCCTCCAGCCTGCAGACCAGGAGGGGCGAGCCAGGTCCCAGTGGGCAGAATCTTCCGCAGGGGAATCTCGATGATAGGAAAAGGGCACGTGGCCAGTTCTGGGCCTAGATCTTTATGCACCTGGACTCCAGAGCTCAGAGAGGCCAGGGATCCTGGAATCTAGGCCGACCTGTCCTGCTCCAGGCGAGCCCGACCCCCAGCTCTGAGAGCGTGCGCTCCTCAGATGGGAGAACCAAGGCCCAGACAAGGCACGAGGGCTCAGTGGCAGCTGCTCCGACCCCCAGCCCAAGGCTCGTGTCTTGCTAGGGCTGAGGGCAGAGGGTGGACCCCAGGAAGGCCAGCTATGAGTCAGCTCCCAGTGCCCAGGGGATGGGACAGGGGCCGCCGCAGGCTGTGGGTGATCCTGGTGATTCAGCTTTGCTCTGTGGGCCGGGGGTGGGGTGGGGGTGGGGTCGCCCCCCTGGGCTGGGAGGCGAAGGGAAGATTGCTGGGGCTAGGAAGGGGCGACGGTGGGGGCTTCAGGGTCCGGGCTCCGGCTCTGCTGGATGCTGAGGTCCCAGCAGATAATGGTGGCCGGAGCCCAGGGGGATCCGAAAGTGGTCCAGGGCTGGGGGCTTGGGGACCCCTCTCCGATGCCTTGCTCCTTGAAGATCTTCAGCACTATACATTGTCCTTTGTGGGGGCTCGCCTGGGCGCTGGGTGGGGAGGGGCCTGGCCCCCACGGACGGCGACGGGAGGTCTCCACTGCGCCAGCGAGCGGGCCTCCTGATGGACAGAGGGGCAGGGCGGAGGAGGAGCCTGCGGGAAATGCCAGGCGGCCGGGGCGGGGCGAGCGGGCTGCGCGGGGCGGGGCCGGCCAGGGACGGGGCCTGGAGCTCCGCCCAGTTTTCCGGGTGGGGCGCGGGAGGCGGCGGCGGCGGGGGCGGCGGAGGCGGGGCCGAGGGCGCGGGGCCGCGCCCGCGCGGGGCTGGGCCGGGGTAGAGCCGGGCGGGAGCTGCAGCCGAAGCCACAGCCGCAGCCGCAGCCGGAGCAGCCGGGACCCGACGCTGGAGCGCAGGCTGTGCTGGAGCCGAGCCGAGCTCGCCGCCTGGTACCGGCCGGAGCGCAGGCCGGCCCATTAGCCGCACCGCCCGAACGCTGCGCGGAGCCGGGACCGGCCGGATCAGGAGGCCTCCGCCCGGCCTGAGCACGCAGCAGGTCCGGAGGTCCGGATTCGCCCCTCTCCAGCCGCCTGGGAACAGAAGAGGAGACAAGAGAGCGGCTTCCATCCAAGCGCCTGGCGTGGGCCTGGGCGCACAGGGCAGTGGAGACTTCGCCCGGGAGGAGGTGCCTGGCCCTGACTAGGCCAGGCTTGGCCACCGACGAGCCCGGCATCCCGGCAGCCACGACCGCGAACCGGCTTCTCAGGTCTCCGCTGGCCCCGGCCTGGCGCAGGGAGCTGTGCCCTCACCTGTCTGAGTCGGGCCCGGGGGCCAGGGCAGCGGGATCTGGTCTGGCCCAAAGCTCTGGTGGCCCGGAGCTGGTCGCAGGGGAGCCGCCTCCTGCTCCAGCCCCGCTGGCGCGGATGTGCCACTGTCCGCTGGAGCATCATGAAGGCAGGATGACCTCCGCCGAGGCCGCGGCCGCCACTGGCGCTTCTCGGGCGGCCGGACCTCCTGAGGGGTCGGCCGGCAGCCCCCAGGCCCTCGGGCAGCCTGGCGGGGCCCGGGTGGCCGTGGCGGCCCTGGTGTGGCTGCTGGCAGGAGCCACCATGTCCAGCCTCAACAAGTGGATCTTCACTGTGCATGGCTTCGGGAGGCCCCTGCTGCTGTCGGCTCTGCACATGCTGGCCGCGGCGCTGGTGTGCCACTGGCGGGCCCAGCGCCCCGTGCCCGGGAGCACCCGCCGCCGCGTGCTGCTGCTCAGCCTCACCTTCGGCACCTCGATGGCCTGTGGCAACGTGGGCCTGAGCGCGGTGCCCCTGGACCTGGCGCAGCTGGCCACCACCACCACGCCGCTGTTCACCATGGCCCTGTCGGCGGCGCTGCTTGGCCGCCGCCACCACCCGCTGCAGTTTGCCGCCATGGGCCCGCTCTGCCTGGGGGCCGCCTGCAGCTTGGCCGGGGAGTTCCAGGCACCTCCTGCCGGCTGCGGCTTCCTGCTGGCTGCCACCTGCCTTCGAGGGCTCAAGTCCGTGCAGCAGAGTGAGTACGAGGGTTGAGGGTCGTTGGCTACAGGAGGTGGGAGGCTGGGGCGTGGTGGGAGGGATGTGGCTGTTACCCCGTTTTACACATGAGGCCACTTAGGCTCAGAGACAGCTTGTGAGTTCCAGGTCCCCAGAATTTCGGCCCTGGGCACCCACGCTACAGTGATCTGGTTCCATTATTGTCCCGTTGGTTCCCTGGATGGCCCCAGGTCGTCCCCATTTGATGGAGACAGGGAGAGGTTTGTCCTGGGCCATGTGTCCAGTGACAAATGTCGGCACTCACTGTACAAGTGATGTGGTGTCTGGTTGTAGACCTATAGTGGGACCGGAAAGTGTGGCTTGGGGTGGAGGGGGGAGGGCAAGGCCTGGAGCTGGCTTTGGAAGGCACAGGGTTTGACTCAGAGCGGGAGGGGCTGGTGTTTACTCTGGCGAGACAGGCGCAGCTGGGTTGTCATGGCAACAGGCACCTTCATCCCATCCCAGAGATGAAGGGACTGAGGCTCCATGATTGGCCCAAGGTCACACGGTTCCTAAAAAGCCTGGAAGGCTGGTCTGCGTGACCGTGACCTCTGACTGCTCTGAGGGGCTCTGAGGAGGGGGGACTAGGGCGAGGCCCCAGGCCCAGCCCCTGCGGGATCCCTCCCTCTGCCTGAGGGTGGGTGGAGGCTGGCTTCCCGCCTGTTACTGCTGAGGGGCGTCTGAGTCACGGCCCCCACCCTCTGGCTGTCTCAACCCCAGGGAGACCTGGGGGAGGCCGGGGTGCCCACTCCGCGGGGTCAGGTGAGGCCTGAGCTCCGGCCATGCTGTTGTCACGTTCATTGTGTGACCTTGGGCAGATCCTGGCCCTATCTGGACCCGGGGAGGGAGGTCCGAGGGGGCCTCTTGCTTGGTCTCCCCCCTCGCAGCTCTGAGATCCTGGGACCCCTGGGAGGAGGAAGGACACTGAGCAGTCCCAGGGTGGTGGGAGGGGCCGGAGGTCAGCCCTGCCCTGGCCTCTGTGCATTGGGACCCAGAAGCCTTGTCCCCATCCTCCTGGGTTCTATTTATGCCCTCAGGCCATATGAGATCTGGGGAGTGAGCTCCACGGAGGGAGGGCCAGCCGAGGGCAGGGCGTGAGTCAGCCCCAGGAAACCTGAGCTTGTGGCTTGTGGCACCCTGGTAGGCGGGGCCCCAAGGCGGGGCAGGTCCCAGCTCCCGGGCACCGCAGCCTGCCGAGTGACGTGCAGGTGCCTTCACTTCTGCCAGCCCCTCCCAAGGCGGAACTCTCTGGCCCCCTGGGCAGGTTGGATGCTGGCTCCAGGCTCCCACAGCACCCTCAGCTCCCTGCCATCGTAGCTCTGAGTGCCCTGTATTTGAGCCACTTGGTTCCTGGTCCGTGTTCCACGAGACAGGCTTTGGGGCTCTTCCCTGTCCCCAGCACCTGGCCCAAGCACCTTATGTGGTGCACTGGTGGGCTGCCCAGCTCAGGAGGGAGCCTGGGAGCCTGGAGGCCCCACCTAGCAGAGATGAGGAGAGGAACAGGCTGGAGCCGGAGGTTGAGATGGGATTTGAGCAAGAGATTTCTACTGTCAAAGGTTCCGGAAGAGGCCCTGGGGCCAGATTCAGACTAGAGTGTAAATGGCTGCCACCAGCTCCTTTGCTAAGAGCAGACTCTGTGGGTGCTGTGGACAAGAGTTCAGGCAGAGGAGAGCCGGGGGCGCTCCAGGGGAGAGGGGTGATGCCGCCTTCCTGCCCCCAGGGTGCCAGCCTGCAGAGCCAGTTCTCAGCTGTACCCGCCGAGTCAGAGCAGCCTCCAGCCCTGTCCACACACTCAGGGGTGCAGGGAGGCACGACAGTAAACACTTGGCGAGGCCTCACGAGGTGTCCACACCATGCCCAGCTCTCCATGCGGGCAGAGCAAGAGGGAAAATTCAGGAGACTGGAAGTCGGCGATGGGTACCAGGCAGCGGGAACAGAGTGGGCGGGATTGTGCCAGCCACTGTGGTCTCCTACGCACTCAGGCCATCTCCCAGCTACCTTAGCAGTGGAAGTGGAGCAGCCAGGACTCAAACTGGTACTCCAATATGGGATGCCAGCTGCGGGCCCCGTGTTCAGCACCACACGTGCCCCTGCGCACAAGGACGGGGTGACTTGGCCTTAGGTCACCCAGCCCGTGAAGGACAAAGCTGGGACAGCCCCGAGTGAGGGTTTAGCAAGGGGCCAGCTGTTGTCTGCGTGTGGCTGAGGCTTGGGCCTATGCAGAGGCAGGGCAGCTGTGGATGAAGTTGAGGGTTTGGGGGTGCTGGCAGGGGAGCAGCCAGGGCAAGCTGGCATCTGGGGGGCCCTAGCGGGAGGTGACTCACCTCTGACAGAGGCTTGCTGTCCTGCCCCTGGGCTGCAGGGGATGGAGGTGGGGGTGGGGCAGGATGTAGAGCAGGTGCAAGAGGATGGCTAGGGCAGCCGTTTGAGCCTTGCTGCCCGCTGCCTCGCTGAGGGTGAAACGTGCCCAAAGCAACGCTTACCTGGAGACCCAGACGCCGTCCTGTGGTGGCACCTTGCACGTGCAGGCCACAGGCAGCTCACGGGGCGGGGCGGGGGGCGGGGGGCCACTGGGAGCTGGGGAGCAGGCTAATTGCACCGATCTGCTCATTTCTAGAAAGGCTTGGGCGGGAGGCATTGTTGCCTAGAGAACAACGCCAAAACATTGGAAAGACATCGAGCAAGAAAGAAAATTTCCTCTTCTCCAACACAGCCTATGAGCAAGCGTCCCCAGGGCTCTTGGGAAAGTCTGTGTCAGTAGAAGCATGGTGGCTCGGCGTGGTGGGCGGGAGGGGGGGCTCTCGCGATTACTCATCTCTCTCCACTGACACTGACACTGGCTGCCCTCCTGCCAGCATGGTCATTTCCCCTGGAGGTCTGGCTGACACGCTGCCTCCTCCGGGAGTTGGCTGGGCAGAGCACCGGCATACACAGGTGCACACAGCACCTGGGTAAAGGTGGCAGGAGCCCCGCTTTCCTCTTGGCCCTGGGTTCGTCTCCACAGGCCCCGGTATTGCTGGCAAACAGGATAAACGGTGGGTGACCGCCCAGCCCGGAGCCAATGCTAATTGTTCCTGGCTCTTCCCCAGTGATCACAGAGGAGAATTTGTTTGTTTGTTTGTTTGAAAAGCAGAAAGCGAGAGAGAAAAGCAGAGACAGAGAGATCTTCCATCTGCTGGTTCACACCCCAAGTGCCCACAGTAGCTAGGGCTGGGCCAGGCCAAAGCCAGGAGCTCAGCAGGGCCTCCCACGTGAATGGGGGGACCTAGGAAGTGAGCACCACTGCTGTGTCCAGGCCGTACATAGGCAGGAAGCTACACTTGCTCTGTCCCAGGCTGCGCATTAGCAGGACGCTGCGTCAGCAGCAGAGGAAGTTTGTTGCTTTCAGACAATTAAGATTAATTAGTTACTTGATTTTATTAGTTTGAAAGGCAGAGAGGTAGAAGGAGCTGGGCACCTGCTGGATCACTCCCTAAATGTCCACAACGGCCAGAAGCCAGGAGTTGGGCACTCTGGGCCCCCCTGTGGGTGGCAGGGCCCCAGCTGCGTGAGCCATCGCCGCTGCCTCCCAGGTGCACATTGGCGGGGAGCTGGAAACCGAAATGGGGCTGGGACTTGTGCTCCATTAGGGGATGCAGGTGTCCCAACGGGGTCTTAACTGTGGTGCCAGATGCCTGCCCTCCTCTCTCTCTCTCTCTCTCTCTTTAATGTAAAGGCTGCATAGTTATTAAGTGATGGAGTTGGGGCCCTTTGCTGGCCTGGCCCTACTGTGCAGGCTGGAGCTTTGTTGTGGTGGGGGTGGGGTCTTGGTGGGTGTGATAAGGCCTGGGGGGTGGGGAATAAAGGGGCATTGGGGTAGTTGGTGCAGGATCTTCCAAGCTGGGTTAAGAACCCAAGGAGACCTCAAGAGTTTTGGGGGAGGTGGCACTTTCCACGTTATTTGGACAGCGTAAGCAGATCGGCTTGAAATGAGTAACAGTGGGCTGCTTTATTTGTGTCAAGGTTGGTGGGGGGAAGAGAGAGAGAGAAAGATTGATTTTTTTTAAGATTTATTTATTTATTTGAAAGTCAGAATTACACAGAGAGAGAAGGAGATGCAGAGAGAGAGATCTTCCATCTGCTGGTCCACTCCCCAATTGTCTGCAACAGCCACAGCTTGGCTGATCTGAAGCCAGGAGCCAGGAGCTTCTTCCGGGTCTCCCACGTGGGTGCAGGGGCCCCAGGACTTGGGCCATCCTCCGCTGCTTTCCCAGGCCATAGCAGAGAGCTGGATTGGAAGTGGAGCAGCCAGGACTCGAACCGGTGCCCTTATGGGATGCTGGTGCTGCAAGCGATGGCTTTACAGCTATGCCACAGCGCCGGTCCTAAGAAATCTTGCATCCTCTGGTTCACTCTCCAAATGCCCACAACAACCAGGACTGGGTCCAGAACTCCATCCCGGTCTCCCCACGTGGGTGGCAGGAACCTAACTCCATGAGTCCTCACCTGCTGCCTCCCAGCTGCAGGTGAGCAGGCAGCTGGATGGGAAGCAGAGCCAGGACTTGAACCCAGGCACTTTGTCTTGGGATGTGGCCGTGGAAACTGACAGCTTCCCTGCTGCGCCATCTGTAAGCAATCACCTTTACAATGGCTTTCCGTAAGCTACATTAAAAAAAAAAAATTATTTATTTGAAGGGCAGAGTTAGAGAGGCAGAGGCAGAGAGAGGTCTTCCACCTTGCAACTACCTGTTTTTAGGGTTTCCTGTTTCCCAGCCTTCCAGGTGAGGAAACCCAGGCTTAGGGAGATGATGCGCTGGTAGTCGGGGGTGGATGCAGCGAGGGTCTGGGCAGCCTGAGCCTGGTGCGTGACCCGCTGGAGGGCCACGCTGGGCTGGCGGAGTCGGGGGCTGTGAGCGCCCCGGGGCTGATGGCCTCTGTCCTATTGCGCCCTGGGGCTTACGGCCTCTGTCCTGTTGCGCCCCGGGGCTGACGGCCTCTGTCCTGTTGCAGGTGCCCTACTGCAGGAGGAGAGGCTCGATGCGGTGACCCTGCTGTACGCCACTTCGCTGCCCAGCTTCTGCCTGCTGGCCGGCGCCGCCCTGGTGCTGGAGGCGGGGGTGGCCCCGCCGCCCGCTGCCTCCGACTCCCGCCTCTGGGCCTGCATCCTGCTCAGCTGCTTCCTGTCTGTGGTCTACAACCTGGCCAGCTTCTCCCTGCTGGCCCTCACCTCCGCCCTCACCGTCCACGTCCTGGGCAACCTCACCGTCGTGGGCAACCTCGTCCTGTCCCGGCTCCTGTTTGGCAGCCGTCTCAGCGCCCTCAGCTACGTGGGCATCGCGCTCACCCTTTCTGGAATGTTCCTTTACCACAACTGCGAGTTCGTGGCCTCCTGGGCATCCCGCTGGAGACTGTGGCGGAGAGACAAGCCCGGCAAGGGTCTTTGAGACCTGGGGCGGACCCACCCTGAACTCAACCTTGGCCAGCGGCCGTGGGAAAGGCAGAGGGCCGGCAGTCCCCGCCACCAGGGCCGTGGAAGGGGGCGGCACCTTCCGGGAGGGCTGCCTTGGAGGCTGCAATGGGGGGCTCCCAGAGAGACGTGCGTCCCGTCCAGCCTGCCTCGCCCCCTTCACGGACGCCCCCACCACTGGATGGTGGGCCCCAGCCTGGCCCAGTCACTGCTTGTCGGATTGATTCTGGCGACGGATATCAAGCGCTACGCTGAAAACTGGGCACACTTTGTAAACCTCCATGTGTTATATGATGATGATGATGGCGACAACTCTGGGAGATTTCACAGTCCTTCCCCGAGTCGGGGAGGCAGCAAGGGGGCCCAGGGAAGGACTTCCTGGCGGCTGCCCCCACCCCCACCCCCGCCGCCGGGAATTGGGGTAATTGGTGCCAACCCCAGGCAGCTGCTGCCCTGGTGCCCACCAGTTTTGAGTCTTCCGTCCTCAAATACACTATTTTTGCTTGGACACCTGTGTGAATCCCTGGGGGGGAGGGAGCAGCCATGAGAATGTAGGGCGCACCAAGTGTCACCGTCGCCGGAACCAGGCCATTCTCCCTGAGCCACCGCAGGCCGTGCTGGCCCCTAGCCCGGCCCCGCACCAGCCCCGCACCAGCCAGGCCACAGGCCCTGGAAGCATCTTCTGGAGGAGGGACAGAGTGAGAGCTCCCTACCCAGACCACAAGGCCCTCAGGCTCGGGCCCCCGTGGGCCTGCCCCGGGCTCCTGTCTCACTTTTCTTCCCCTTGGCTCCACCCCCACCACCAGCCTCAACTTCCTTCAGATCCCCATGGGCACCTCCCTTGTCATGGTCCAAACCCAAACCCATGATTCCTCCAGAGAGAAGGGCGGGGCGGGGCAGGGGTGGAATGCCCAGGGATGGGGGTGCAGAGGAGGAGGGATGGGGTTCAGGGGAGAGGGAGGGCTGGCCCCGGGGCCTTACAGGGAGCACGGCTGCCTTCCAGCGGACAACCTCTGGTGGGTGTCCCCACACCTGGAGCTAGCCCAGAGCCTCCCTGGCCGGCTGGCCCCACTCGGCTTGCTTACCTGGCCTCTTGGCCTCCCCCGGCCTGGCTACCTCACCTAGGGGGTCACCTGGTCAAAGTCCCGGATAGGAAAGTGCAGCAGGTCAGACGCTGCCTGGGACGCCTGCAGCCCATAGCAGAGTGCCTAAGGCTCAGGCCCGGCTCCGCCTCCCATTCCAGCTTCCTGCCGATGTGCACCCTGGGAGGCAGCCGATGATGGCTTAAGTACTTGGGTCCCTGCCACCAACATGGGAGACTGGGTGGAGTTCCTGACATTTGTGGAGTGAACCAGTGAATGGAAGATCGATTTCTCTCTCTGTCTTTAAATAAAAAATGAAATAAAAAAAAATGATAGGGAGACTGGGACCTGATCCTGCTCTGCTGCCTCATGTGTGCCTTGGGTAGCTGCCCTCCCTTCTCTGGGCCTCAGTTTCTGCATCTGCGAAATGGGCCTGGTGCTCCCTTTGGGGAGGTTTCAGATCAGGAGCCTGGTGGGCAGGGCCAGGAATGAGGAAAGTAGTGATGGTGGTGACCCTGCTGTCCCTCTCTGGTCCACCCACCTTCTCTGAGGTTCCAGATTCATCTGGGAAACATCCCCTTTGTGTGTGACGGTGAGGGGCGGGACCAGGCTGAGGCTGGGGTGCAGGGAGCTGGGATTCGGAAAGGAACCATTCCCTGGGAATCCACCAGGGACCACAGTGCCAGGCAGGGAGGGCCTGCAAGGTCACACACAGCTCGGCCCAGCCTTGCAGGAGGGGAAGTGGGCCGGGGCTGAGTCACCCGCCACCCCCCTTCCCTGTGACTCAGAGATGCCACAGCCCAGCCCAGCCTGGCCTGTGCAGCTCAGCCACTGCTGGACTGCCGTGTTGTTCAGGCCCAGCAGGCTGGAGGGACAGGTGGCCTGGCGCAGGGCCCTTTCCCCATTCCAGGGAGCCCCGCCACAGCAGGAGCCCCACTGCTCCACCTCCACCTGGGCTCCTGACCCTCGTGGGGCTAATGAGGGAGCCTCCTGTCAGATCTAAGCCTGCTCTTGGTTGTGGTGGGGGACAGGGCAGGGGGGTATTAGAGATGCACTTGACCTAGGACTGGCTTCTCACCAGCTTCAGGGCCCTCCGACATGGAGGCGATTCCCCAAGTTCACAGCCAGAGCCCCCCTCGGCACTCCTCCCAGCAGTGGGAGAGCCGGGCTTGGAGTCCTGGTCCCTCCTGCTCCCTGTGTGACCTCAGGCTGGTTCTTCTTGCCCAGGATCACAGCAGTAATTAGAGAGGTCTCAGCGTGTCCTGGGCCGGGGAGTGTCCCACTGAAACGTCAGCGTCCCTCCTGGCTCTGCCTCTCACTAGCTGTGCTGCCTCGGACAAGTGGCTTCACCTCTCTGAGCCTGGGCCTGCGATCCGGCCCTGCTGGGAAGCCCTCGCAGAGTGACAGATGCCACCTTCCTGGGGAGGCTCCCCCTCTCCCACGCACACCAGGCTGAGAAGCTCCAACTAAAGGTCACCCCAAGTCCCTGTGCGTCTCTATCTGAAAGGTAGTTAGAGAGAGAGGGGGACATAGAATCTTCCACCCGCTGGTTCACTTCCCAAATGGCTGCGATGGCTGGGGCTGGGCCAGGAGCCTGGAACTGCATCCGGGTCGCCCACGAGGGTGCAGGGGCCCAAGCACTTGAGCCACCCTCTGCTGTTTTCCCAAGTGCATTAGCAGGGAGCTGGATCAGAAGTGGAGCAGCCAGGGCTAGAACAGGTGCTCCGTCCGATAGGAGCTTGCAGGCAGCACAGCTTAACCCTGTGCGCCACAGCGCCGCCCCCGCGCCTCTGATGAAGTGGGGGCAGCTGTTGGACCTGACCCCGGGGCGGCCAAGGCTGCGGGAATGGGCTGTGGGAAGAGCTCAGCCACTGGGGGTCCTCGATCAAGATGGGCGAGCTGAGTCTCATTGCCAAGACTCCTTTGTGACCTGCCCTGCCCCTCAGCCTTGCGCGACCTCCCACCCCGCCCCGCCCCGCCCGGGGCACGCTCCTGCTGGAGCTGAGCAGGGGGGAAGCTGAGCTGAGCTGGGCATCCTGCCATTGTGGACGGCAGAACAGAGCCGGTCTCAGCGCCAGCCGCTGGGGCGCCCTCTGCCCTCCACTGGTGGCCCTCGGGGGCCACGGGGAAATAAGGACTCCTCTTGTCCCCCCTCCCTGGACTTTTACCCCCCAAATCAGCCCAGGCACGCCAGAAACCACCCCGGCTGGGCCCCTCCACTTCCAGAGTCCCGGAAAGCTTGGAACAGGTAAGAGCCACGGTCCTTTTGCTTTTTAAATTTTGACTGTGGATTTCATTTATCTGAGAGACACAGAGAGAGACAGACAGAAGTCGCCCATGCACTGGTTCACTCCCCAAATGCCTGCCGCAGCCAAGCCCAGGCTGGAACTCCCTCTGGGTCTCCCGTGGGGGTGACAGAGACCTGAGTACTTGGGCCATCACCTGCTGCCTGGCGCGGTTTGCATTAGCAGGGAGCCGGAATCTGGAGCTGGAGCCAGGGGTGAAACCCAGACTCTGATACGGGATTTGGAGTCCAACCTGAGTGGTAACTGTTGTGCCAAAAGCCCGCCCCTGATTTCTTTATTTTTCCGGACTTTTTTTTTTCTATTCTTAGATGATTTTTAAAAAATAAAAAGTGTTCGGGGCCAGCGCTGTGGTGCAGCAGGTTAACACCCTGGCCTGAAGCGCTGGCATCCCATATGAGTGCTGGTTCTAGTCCTGGCTGCTTCTGTTCCAATCGAGCTCTCTGCTGTGGCCTGGGAAAGCAGTAGAAGATGGCCCAAGTGCTTGGGCCCCTGCGCCCATGTGGGAGACCCGGAAGAGGCTCCTGGCTCCTGGCTTCGGATCAGCACAGCTCCGGCCCTTGCAGCCAGTTGGGGAGTGAACCAGCAGATGGAAGACCTCTCTCTCTGCCTCTCCTTCTCTCTGTGTAACTCTTTCAAATAAGTAAACAAATAAATCTTTAAAAAATAAATAAATAAATAACAAGTGTTCACAGTTCACTCTCAAACTCTTCTGTGATTATCCCTCTTTTTTTAAAAAAAGATGTATTTTATTTATTTGAAAGGCAGCATCACAGAGGCAGAGTGAGAGAGGTCTTGCATCCGTTAGTTCACCTCCTAAATGGCTGGGGCTGAACCAGGCAGAAGCCAGGAGCCAGGAACTCCGTCCGGGTCTCCCACGTGGGTGCAGGGGCCCGAGCACTTGGGCCATCTTCAGCTGCCTTCCCAGGCGCATTAGCAGGGAGCTGGATCTGAAGTGGAGCAGCCGGGACTCCAGCTGGCGCTCACGTGGGGTGCGATTTCGTCTCCTGTGCCCCACGCCGGCCCCTGGGTATTCCTCTTCTGCTTGGTTTCTGTTCTGCTCATTTTTACTTCCTTTAAATAGTTCTGAAATTGGTCGAGTGGTTGACTCTGGTTAGGACACTTGTCTCCCGTATCCAGAGTGCTCTGGTTCCGGATTCCAGCTTCCTGTCAGTGCAGCTCCCGGAAGCCGTACGGATGGCCCGAGTAGTTGAGTCCCTGCCGCCCACACAGGAGAGGACTGGGGAGAACTCCTCCTGGGTCTCCCGCGTGGATGCCGGGACCCACGTACCTGAGTCTCCACCCAGGTCCGCGTTAGCGGGGCCCGAGCTCAGACCCAGGCCCTGCGGTGTGGGAAGTGGCACCCTCAAAGGGCTGTCTTAGCTGCCGCACCAAACATCACCTCTTCGCTGATCCAGTCCCAGAGGTCCCGCTGTGTCATCTCTGTCCTGTCGGTCATGTGGCCCGGCCTATTCCACGTGGCCTGGCACACTGACCACGCCCGGGCTACCTGGGGTGGGATCGTTGGGACCACGTGGGAAGCTGGCTGCGAATCAGTGGCTGTTTCTTGGGTGAATGACTGACAGCCTGGGGCCCCGTGGAGTTAGGGAGACTTGCTGCCCTGCGTGGGTTCCTGTCGGCCACACCTGGACGTTCTCCCCGGCAACACAGCACGCTCTTGGCCAGTGTTGGCGATGGCTGGAGCCTACCCTTCCTGGTGGCCCCTGCACACAGTCTCTGAAGCCCTGAGGTGCTCAGCTTTTTCCCGGCCCACCCCGCTGCCCTTGAAACCCAGGCCGCGTTCCTGATGCTTCCGAGGCCGACTTGATCGGGCCCACGGCTCCCTCCCCTGGCTTGTAGCTCCTCTGTCTTCAGCAGCCGGCCGAGCTCTCAGACAGACTCACTCGACAGAGGGAGCAGCCCGGGGTCAGCCCAGACTCTTTATTTTGAGATGCTTACCAGGAACTTCACGCCCTCATCAAGTCTAATAGCCAATCATTTTTCAGCACATCCCGGCCTGCCACGGCTTGACCAATCCAAGGCCACGAGCTCCGTGGACCAAGCAGATACCTGCACAAGGAGCTGACCCCACACCAGCTGTCATCTGTGAGATCCACGGCCCTTAGTCCCTCAGGGACTAAGACTCCTTGCTCTGGGTCTGTAGGGGACAGGGAACCTGGTTTTCTGCCCAGGGCCATTTGGCTATTGATAGCATCCTTCAGGGGCCACACAAAACCATCACCTGCTATACTGAATATACTATGCTGTACTGAATGTTTGAGTCCCGCCTGCGGCTGCCATGGCCAAATCAGACTCCGTGGTCTCATGGACCTTGTCAGGCCCGCGGGCTGGGCGTTCCCTGTCCCTCCCCGACACCCTACCCCCAGGTATTGCAAAGTAAACTCCTACTTTCTTCCTGGTGCCAGTGGTGGGCTTGCTGTGCATCAGGGTGGTGAGTTTGGGTTGGGGTTCCTCCAGCCAGGTCCAGGGGGTTCTGTCACACCCTGCCCACTCCCCAAGCCTGATGGAGCCCTCCAGGATCCGGGCCTCCGCTCACCCGGCTCTGGCTGTCACAACTCTCAGGGAGCCCTCCTCCCTCTCTAAGCTTGGCCAGCATCCCCGCTGAGCACAGCAGATTCGGCCAGTGCCGGCAATGCCCACGTCCCATCTCGGATACTGGTTCATGGCCCAGTTCCTCAGCTTCTGATCCAGCTTCCTGCCGAGGCACCTGGGAGGCAGCTTGCTGGCTCAAGTTGTTGGGTTCCTGCTGGGAGGACTTAGGTGGCTAACAGGCAATGAGAGAAGGGGCGGGGTCGCTTTAAGGGTGGGCAAAGTGCCCCCCTCTCAGAGGCTGCCTGCAGCAACTTAGTTTTTAATCATGAGAACAGGCTAGACAGGATTACCAATCCCAGCCCTTGATGGCTTTTATGCCTGCCTCTGATTGGTTGTTATCCCAACCTCCTGATTGGTTGTTATTGTAGCCCTCTGATTGGTTGTTAGCTGTTGTTCTGCTCTCTCCTGATTGGTTAAATCTAGGTAGCCACTGTTGCATGGAAAAAGAGCTAGCGCCCTCACAGGCTTTCCCAGTAACTCCTCCCTCTGGAGCTCCGCCTCCTGCTGCTGCTTTGCAGGGTCCCTGTGGAAATTCTTCTCTTGGACTCAGCTCACTTTCATCCTCCCAGGGCACTGCCCACCACGTGGGAGACCTGGGCGGAGTTTCTGGCTCCTCCCTGCTTTGTCTAGGCCCAGCCCCGCTCTTGTGGGCATCTGGGGAGTGAGCCAGCAGATGGAAGATTCTCTCTCTCCTCTCTGTGCGACTCTGCCTTTCAGATAACAGACAAATCTTTAAATTTAGTCAACCTTAATTGAGAGAGAAATTGCTATAAAAGAATGTATTCAAAATGCAGAGAGAGGTCGGCGCCGCAGCTCACTAGGCTAATCCTCCGCCTTGCGGCACCAGCACACCGGGTTCTAGTCCCGGTCGGGGCGCCAGATTCTGTCCCGGTTGCCCCTCTTACAGGCCAGCTCTCTGCTGTGGCCAGGGAGTACAGTGGAGGATGGCCCAGGTGCTTGGGCCCTGCACCCCATGGGAGACCAGGAAAAGCACCTGGCTCCTGCCATCGGATCAACACGGTGCGCCGGCCACAGAGCACCGGCCGCGGCGGCCATTGGAGGGTGAAGCAACGGCAAAAAGGAAGACCTTTCTCTCTGTCTCTCTCTTTCACTGTCCACTCTGCCTGTCATAAAACAAAAAAAAAAAAAGAAATGAAGGCAGAGATGAAGAGAGAGACAGATAATCTCCTATCTGCTGGTTCACACTCCAGATGCCTGCGACAGGGCTGGGCCAGGCCAAAAGCAGGAGCCTAGAATTCAACGTGCGTCTCCCACCCAGGGTGACTGAGATGTGAGTGCTTGAGCCATCACCTGCTGCCTCCCAGGGTGCACAGCGGCAGGAAGTTGGAACTGGAAGCAGAGCCGGGACTCGAACCCAGGCACCCCAGTAAGGGATGCAGGCGCCCCAAGAGTGGACTTCTGACTCAGCAGGAGCTGCGGGCGGCATCTCTCTTTGTGCACTTGCTTTGCTTGGTGTCGGGACCCTTGTCCGTGCCGCTCGAGCTGGAGCCCAGGGTCCACCGGGCCAAAGCTGGGGGCTGTGGGTGAGTCAGGGCCCCCTCACCCGCCATTTGCAAGCCACAGACCTAGTTCACTCCTTGTCTTGCCCACGGGGAAGAGGAAGCCCCATGGACAAACCAAGGTGACTTCGTTCAAAGAGGAGGAAGCAGGGTGTCAGAGGACCAGACTGTAGCAATGTACGGATCTTCTAAATTGGATTCTGGATTTTACAGTCAGGCAGCGCTTCGTCCCATAGACGTGTTCTGACCGGCTGAGCAACAGAAAGGCTGAGCAGGACAGGAACGAGGGGAGGAAAAGCCGACTGGCTTCCTCGCCGTTAGGCCCCGTGTAAGGCTGGCACAACGGAGACAGGATAACTCCTTGGTTAACAGGGTACTTCCGGTTACCTTTTTTGTGTAAAGATGAGGGCAGAGGGAACTTGTTATCATGCCAAAGCAAACTGGCCTGCCGGCAAAATGTGGCTGATATCTCGCTAATCCTCTTTTTTTTTTTTTTTTTGACAGGCAGAGTGGACAGTGAGGGAGACAGAGAGAAAGGTCTTCCTTTGCCGTTGGTTCACCCTCCAATGGCCACCGCGGCTGGCGCGCTGTGGCCGGCGCACCGCGTTGATCCAATGGCAGGAGCCAGGTGCTTCTCCTGGTCTCCCATGGGGTGCAGGGCCCAAGCACTTGGGCCATCCTCCACTGCACTCCCGGGCCACAGCAGAGAGCTGGCCTGGAAGAGGGGCAACCGGGACAGAATCCGGCGCCCCGACCGGGACTAGAACCCGGTGTGCCGGCACCGCAGGCGGAGGATTAGCCTAGTGAGCCACAGCGCCGGCCAATCCTCATTTCTTGCAGGTCAGATAAACAGCTTGGTTTCAGCTTTATTGTGAGTGACTCCATTTTGATTTGAGCCTGGTCAGTGTGGAAATTTAGTTTTTAAAGATTTATTTATTTATTTGAAAGGCACAGTTTCAGAGATGTAGAGAGAGGTAGAGAGAGAGAGGTCTTCCATCTGATGGTTCATTCCCCAAATGGCCAGAGTGGCCAGAGCTGGGCTAGTCTAAAGCCAGGAGCCAGGGGCTTCTTCTAGGTCTCCCATGTGCGTGCAGGGGGCCCAAGGACTTGGGCCATCTTCTAGTGCTTTCCCAGGCCATAGCAGAGAGCTGGATAGGAGGTTGAGCAGCTGGGACTTGAGCTAGCACCCATATGGGATGCCGGCACTGCAGGTGGTGGCTTTACTGGCTACCCTTAGCCAGTTTTTCTATTTTCCTGTCTCCCCGTCCACAGTGACATGGAAAGTGACTTCTAAATGATCAGTCTGGTTTTTCAAATCTTTAAATTTATTTTTATTCTGTTTGAAAGGCAGAGAGACAAATGGAGAGAGACCTTCCATCTGCTGATTCAGTCCCCAAATACTTGCAAAGGCCGGGGCTGGGCTAGGCCTAAGACAGGAGCCAGGAATGCCACATGGTCTCCCATGTGGGTGGCAGAAGCCCAAGTACTGCATCACATTAGCAGGACGCTGGATTGGAAGCAGAGCTGGGACGCTACCTGGGCTTCCAGTGTGGGACGCAGGTGTCCTGAGGCATCTTAGCCTCTGCACCCAGGGCTGCGCCACAAACTGCTTTTTGTTCTTTGCTTTTCTTTCTTCACCCCTTTTCTGTGTATGCAGCAATGTCTTCTGCTCATTGGAATACTTCTATTTTTTTTTAAAGATTTATTTATTTAATTCA